AACAGAATAATTCTTAGAATCTTACATTCATGAGACTGGAAATGTCGGAGATGTGGTTCTACCGAGAAATGCTTAGAATTCTATAGATGTGAGAAACAAGAAAAACAGAGAATTTGGACAGTTTCTACGCACAATATGGCAGTTCATTTAATGAGGTAGAAATTCAATAAGTAACGTTCGTTTACATTTAAATTAACGTTTACATATATATATATATATATATATATATATATATATATATATATATATATATATATATATATATATATATTAAAAGACATATTTTATGTTTAACGTTGTTATTTTAAACATAAAAATATGTCTTTAATTAATAAATTGTCGGACCTTGTCCATTTCTTAATATATGACGTCATTTGTTTACATTCGATACGCCAGAGCAGTTATGAATGTACGAGATTCATGGAAAGTTGGAGTTTATAAGCAGTAAATTCGACCTTGTCTACCGATTGGTTCTTTGTAGCTCAAACGGTAAAGGCACGTCAGCGTATATGACGGTTCCGTATAGGATACAGGTTCGAATCCTGTCAAAGAACGAAAATTATCTATGAAAATTTCTCGGACATTCAGGCCGGTAAATGTTATTTAATACTGTTTATCATAAACAGAGCATTTGCTTAAATACTTGTATCTATAAAATAACAACGTTAAACATAAAAATATGTCTTTAATAAATAAATTGTCGGACCTTGTCCATTTCTTAATATATATATATATATATATATGACTGTATGTTTATTTAAATATAAATACGCTTAAATTCACCTTCATCCCTGTCGTGCACTGACAGCTCAGAGGTAAAATCTCTGACTGGCGCCAATTCAGCCATGTTTCGATCCTAGCCACACTGATGAGCTGATATACAGGGAAACGGTCTGTCTGTGGATGACAATATATATGCTCCTGAAAAATTTATTTTGGTTGAGCTCACTGGGGAGGAAGTGTGTGTTTGTAAACAGTGACTATTCCGGCTAATAATGCAAGACTCTTCGGTAAAGCGAATCGAGTTCTCGCAGTCACTGTGTGTTTATCCAAAAATAAATGCGCTTAAATTCACCTTCATCTCCCTGCCGTGCACTGACAACTCCGTTGGTAAAATCTCTGATTGGTGCCAATTCAGCCGGGTTTCGATCCTAGCTAGTGGCAACTGGATGTCTAACTATACTGATGAGCTGTGATACAGCAATATATATATATATATATACACATTAATTGAAAAGATGGCTCAATACCAAGTGGAGAGCAATAATTATTATATTTTTACATACGGACAAAAACAGCTTACTCACAACAAAGATGCATTCGTGTTTCGATGCAGCTGCATCTTGACTTGTGCGAACCAAAAGTGGATAAACATTTTTTGTTCTCACCAGGCAAAGGGTGGATATTTCCACATATTATTAAAAGGAATTAATTTTCTTATGTTTTTCTTATGCATGGAGAGGGAATATACCTATGCTTACGCATGCTGACAAAAACACAAAAAATGGAAATAGATCTAAGAACACACAGGGGTCATTAAAAGATAAGAATATAGATATCTTCTTCACCCTTTCTAGGACCAGTCTTAATTGTTTTATTACCATTCAAGGCAGAATTCTGCCAGTTCAAGAAAGACATTTGGGTCACTAACACACACAAAACTGAGAATGACTAATATCAAGAATATTTAACATCGGAAAACATAAGAAAATTTAATTCTTTTTAATAATATATGGAAATATCCATTGTTTGCCTGATGAAGCTCGCGAGACCGGAAACTCGTGTAGCAAAATTATGGAAAATAAAGTATAATATATTTTTTTTAACAAAAACACATTACAACCAAAAACTTTTGCCGCTTCTTTCTTCCTTTTTTTATATATATATATATATATATATATATATATATATGTGTGTGTGTGTGTGTGTGTGTGTGTGTGTGTGTGTTTGTCTGTGTGTTAATGTATATTCGAGCAATAACCTTTCTTCTAAACATATTTCGTCAAATATGTCAAACAAGAAAATAACAAAGTCTTACCGACGCTTCTCATCCTCTGAGCTCAGCGGACTTTGCCGGTACCATAGATGTAAATCGAACTCATTATGGAGAGACTTTGAACACGCTGCATTCAGAACTTCAATAAGAGAGATGAGAAAAAGATAATAAAAAAATAAGAAGGAGAAGTTGGAAGGTCGAAACTAAACTAAGCACAAGTAAACAAACGAGTTGAAATATAAATGAAAGAGAAAAAAGAAGTTTAATTTCAAAGTGAAAGTGAAAGTGAAAGTAGGGTTTCTGCTCCACGCATAAGAAGCACGAAAAAATGGGTATGGGGAGATGTTACCGTAACAGCAACACACAATTTCAAATATCATCTCATTACAAGGCAATCACATCCTGAAAAACACGCGCCAATTCTGTTTTATGTAAACCCTTGTCTTTCAAGAAGCCCTAGACAACTAACCAACCCGATCTAATCGGCTATACTTTAAACCCCTTTTCATTTCTCTCCTTCAGACACTTTCCTTTCTGCCTTTTCTAACGTCGTTTTTAGAGAAGAGAACGATTTCTTTTTTTCATTTTCTTACTTGATATTTTAAATAATTGTTGTCATTCTTTTCTTTTTGTGAATGATTTTCTCTTCTGTCAATTTCCATCTACCATCTTCTGTTTTGAACCTTGTTGAAATCTACGAGTACCTCTCGTTGTGTCAGCAAGCTACTCCAGTAAAAGGTTGCCCTATATGAAGATGTCGAATTCATTTTATCTCAACTAACTCTGCACCAATTCCGTCTAGTGCTTCTGCTACGTATTTAGCGTTTCTTGAGGAAATACAAAAAAGAATTTGCAATATTATCGGTCATGAGCTGGCAAATCTAAACATTTCCATGGTAATTGTTCTAATTAGCTATCCCCTTTGATACATACATTTTACGAATGCAGGCGCAGCGCCAGTTTGGCCCTCAGGTTTCTTCATTTTACAGTAAAATGGCTACATGCAACCTTAAGCTCTATGGTTTCAGTTGCTTCTCTACGAGTTTAAGCGTATGATTGTAAGGTTTACATACACTTTGGAAGACACGAACCCATCTCAGATCACCCGCAGCTATTGATTAAATAGCAGGTATTGTAAAGGGAAATTCTTGTTGTTCTCTAAAAATTGTTAATGAAATATTCCTTCGTAAAATAAATTAATATTCTTGCAATTTATAAAGTATCTGGGGAATATAGCGAGGAAAGACGGTTTCTAAAATTTAATACTCAAAAGGCATAGGGAAGACGTACCTTCCAACAGTATGGCTGATGCTAACATCTCGTTGGTATATATATATATATATATGTGTGTGTGTGTGTGTGTGTGTGTGTGTGTGTGTGTGTGTGTGTGTGTGTGTGTGTGTGAAAATATATAGAAAATAGGAAGGAACTGGTTAGGTAAATAATCCAAAGTTCGTTAGTATTTTAGTTATTATTTTTAAAAAATAATGCTCGATACAAAAGTAGAGCATAAATATAATTATTTATTTAAAAATATGATTCCAACTCGCGACATAAGAGGTCTCATGTTTCAAAACAAGAGCCGAAAACTTCAATATAATTATTTGAATTAAATTGAGTTAAAGTAAGCTCTGTTCCATCTTCAAGCGAAATTTTTTTGGAATAACGTATTTCTGAAATTTACGTGTTTTAATAATTGAAATCAAAATTTCCATGGTAACAGCTAGGGCGAAGTATTTAAATTGGGTAGGCGTGTGTTGGGTGTTAATAATAAGTATCAATATAGAGTTACTTTCATGGATGTCAAGTCAGGGAAAGGTGCGGGTGTCTAAATTTGAAACGGAAGATGTATTAACCGTAGTCTGGCATGCGCGTCTATGGAGATTTATTTATTTTTTTATTTTATTTTTTTATGTAAGGGATTTGTGCATATAAAAAACTGCCGTAACGTTTGTTTTTTGACGACTTCACAAAGGGTTAACTTTTTTGTAGGGTATTTAAACTATTTATTTGGGCTATGGATTATGAAAGTTATTTTATTGTATGCTTGTTCTTAGCAATGGATGTCGCCAATAATTGCATTAATACTTCTGATTGATTCTATGTGTGATTATTTCTTTGTATGTAAATTATATGCTGCCTAATGCTTTATGTTTTATATATATATATATATATATATATATATATATATATATATATATATATATATATATGTATGTATATCTGGGCAACAACTTCTTATTTGTTTTTCCTGGGTTCTGGCAAAAATATCAATATAAATTATCCGTTGATAGACAGTTTAGATGGAAATATTGAGATTATATATGTGTTATGAATTATCAAGAATGGTCGCCCATTGTTTCGTTACTCTCCTTTTTGAGAGAGCTATTTATGTATACTGGGACTATAAGAGGACACTATACGCGAACCTTGTATTCTCAGTTGAATAAAGTTTTCTTAAATCCGAAACCTGCGTACATTTATCATTGCAATATGCCTCATGCTTTTTGTGATATGTCAATTGACTATTTTTAAAATGAGTTCATGGCACAATATGTCTGGTTTTTTTGTTGTTGATTGTCTTTTTAAAACTGTTCTTTTTACTTTTTATTTTTATTTTTTCTTTCTTACGTTTTTACGATATTTTCTTTCTTTTTTAACATTTTACTTCCGTTTAAATATCTTAGTCTATCTCTTTGTTTTCTTTCTTTTTTTCATTTTCCTTTTCTTTCTTTTTTACTTCGTCTCCCCTACATTTGTATTTGTTTTTTCTTTGTTTTTCTTTTCCTTTTTCCATTTATATTTTCTTTTCTTTTTTCTTTTCTTTTTTCCATTTATATTATCTTTTCTTTTTTTGTTTTCCTTTTTCCATTTATATTTTCTTTTCTTTTTTCTATTTTTGGCTTCCATTTATTTTTTTTTTCATTTTTTACTTTATTTTCGTGTTCTTTTTCCCATTTATTTTTCGTTTTCTTCTTTATTTATTTCCTTCTTTCTTTCTTCGATGTCGTTTTCTCGAATATATTTCATTCATTTCTCTTTCTATTTCTTCCTTTTCTTCATTTTCTTCCTTTCTTTCTTAGATGTGTTTTTCTGGAGTATATTTCATTTCTTTCTTTATTTCATTTTTTCTTTCTTTTTTTCTTTCTTCTTTCTTTCTTTCTTTCTTTCTTCTTTCTTTCTTTCTTTCTTCGATGTCGTTTTCTCGAGTATATTTCATTCCTTTCTTTCTCTATTTCTTCCTTTACTTCATTTTTTCTTTCTTTTTTCTTTCGTTCTTTTTTTCTTTCTTCGATGTCATTTTCTCGAGTATATTTCATTCATTTCTCTCTCTTTTTTCCTTTTCTTCATCTTCCTTTCTTTCTTTTATTCTTTCTTCGATGTCGTTTTCTCGAGTATATTTCATTCATTTCTCTTTCTATTTCTTTCTTTTCTTCATTTTCTTCCTGTCTTTCTTAGATGTGTTTTCCTAGAGTATATTTCATTCCTTTCTCTCTCTATTTCTTCCTTTACTTCATTCTTTCTTTCTTTCTTTCTTTCTTCGATGTATCTCTCGAGTATATTTCCTTCCTTTCCCTATCTCCCCCTTTTCTTCATGCATTTTTTACTTTCTTCGATATCTTTTTCTCTCTCTATTTCTCCCCTCCTCGCCCGGTCGCTCATTCTCTCCTTGTCGCTAACAGTTTATAATGGCTCGTATGTCTTGTCCTCATTCACCATTTCATTCAATCCTTTAACTTTGTCTTCCTTATCTTTGCAATGTCTTGCTATCTTACTCTCATTTACCAAACAAATGTCTGCGTGGACCGAAGCACACGATCCAATCCATGTCAGTCATTATTTTTACTTCCGTCAATTTTATTGTCACAGTTTCGGCCATCTTTAACCGATTCTTCATTTAAATATCGCTTTCCTTTTTATCCTCGCTTATTTTATCAGAATTTTTGCGACTTCTTTTATAGCTGAATCGTGTTTGTTCTTTTATTATTTTTTTTCTTCCTCAATCTATCTTTTATCCGTTTTTTTAATTCTTTGCTTACTTTTTTTCTCTTTAAAATACGCTTTCCTTTCTCTCGCTTTTTCTTTCTTTCTAACGATTTCTCATTATTTTTCTCTTTTTCTCCCCCTCTACATTTCATTGTTCATTCGTTTTTTATTCACGACTTTATTATATTGTCTTTCTCTTTCATTCTTTTCTTTTTTGTGTTTAACTCTTTCATAATCTGCTATTCTTTTTTCATTCTTTACCAAATGTATTATTATTATTCCATATTTTGTTTCTTCTTCCTTTCTGTATTTCTTCTTTTCTGCTGTGTTTATCTTTGTTTTGTTTCTTTCTCAGCTATCACGCAGTCTTTCATTTTGTCTACTGTACTATTTTTTTTTTTATTCTTTTTCATTTTCCTTCGTTGATTCTTTCTTTCTTGCTTCGTTTCTTTTCATTTTCATTATTTTTGTTTTATTTCATTGCTTTTTATTTTTTTCTGTCTGTCTTTCTTTCTTACTTTCTTCTTTCCTTACTTTCTTTTTTTCTTTCTTTCTTTCTTCCTTTCTTTTGTATTCTTATTTTCTTTAATTATTTCTTTCATTCTGTCTTTCTTTCCGTTTTTGCTTTCATTTTCTCTTTTTTTTTTCTAGTTTTTTCATTGTTTTTAAATTCATTCCGTACTATTCTGCATCCACCATTTCTATCTTATTGATTTTATTCCTTTTCTTTTTTTATTTCTTTCATTCTTCGTCTACTTAGGGTCTTTCCACGTAGAAGGTTTTATTTTTTTTCATTCTTTTCTTCTTCTTCTTCTTCTTCTTCTTCTTCTTCTTCTTCTTCTTCTTCTTCTTAAGGTAATACCTTGTAGAATTGAACAGTCAGGTATTATTTATTTTCATTCTTTTTTCTACTTTCTTCTTCTTTTTCTTCTTAAGGTCATATCTTGTAGAATTGAACAGTCAGATATTATTTATTTTTTTTCTTTCTTCTTCTTTCTTTCTTCATAAGGTCATACCTGGTAGAATTGAACTGACAGGTATTATTTATTTTCATTCTTTCTTCTTATTATTCTTCTTTTTCTACTCCTTCTTCTTCTTCTACCTTGTAGAATGAACAGTCAGGTATTATTTATTTTCATTCTTTCTTCTTCTTTTTTCTTCTTCTTTTTCTTCTTCTTCTTAAGGTAATTCGTTCTGGATTAAACAGTCAGATTTTATTTATTATTCTTTCTTTCTTATAATTATACTTCTTAAGGTCTTTCGTCCTCGTCTTGAAAAAACAGACATTCTTTATTTTTTCTTCTTCTTCTTAACTTCTTTCGTTGTAATCTTGAACAGTCAAATTTTCTTTATTTTCCTTCATTTCTTCTTAAGGATTTTTAGTGTAAATTTGAACATTCAGATTTTCTTTATTTTTCTTTCTTTCTTTCTTTCTTTCTTTCTTTCTTTCTTCTTAAGGTTTCGTTGAAGTCTTGATCAGTCAGATTTTCTTTATTTTTCTTCCTGTCTTCTTCTTCATAATGTATTTCTTTGTAGGCGTTCTTTCTTCTTCTTAAGGTGTTTCGTTGCAGTCTTGAACCGTCAAATTTTTTTTATTTTTCTTTCTTTCTTTCATTTTTATTCTTCTTAAGTTATTTCCTTGTAGTCTTGAACATTAAGATATTCTTTATTTTTCATTCTTTCTTCTTTCTTTCTTTCTTCATTCTTTCTTTCTTTATTTCCTTCTTTCTTTCTTTCTTTCTTCTTCTTAATTCATTCTTTCTCTCTTCTAATTTTAATTCTTGTGCTATAACCTTTTTTCTTAATTAATATTTCGTACGTTAGTTTTTCTCGTGTATTTCTTTCATTCGCCCTTTCTTTCTTTATTAGGATCTTCCTTCGTCTTTTCCTTCTTACATACATTTCTTTCTTCCTTAAATCCTGTTATTATTTTAGTCTTCTTCTTCTTCTCTTATTCCCTCAAATCTTTCTTTTGTTTTAAATTCTTCCCGCCTTTCTTTCTGCTCAGGTTGACTGTTTCTTTTTTCATTCCTTCTTTCCCATTTTTATGAGCAAATCTTTCTTTCTTTCTCACAAAGTTCATCATTTCTTCCTCATTATTCTGTTTCACCATGAACTCTTTTGTTGATTTTTTCATTATTTTCTTTCTTTCTCTCTTTCTTTCTTTCGTTATTCATTAATTTTTTTCTTCATTTTCTTCACTTGAAATAATCTTCATTTTAATCTTTCCTCTTTGCCTTAAATTCTTCTTACTTTATTTTCATTTTTTCTTTCCTACATCCATTCTCAATTTTAATTTCTATCTATATTTTTCTGAATCTGTTTCTTTCTTTCTTACATTTCAGGTTGTCTCTTTCTTTTTCATTCCATTCTTTTCCCTTTTTACATGCAAGATTTTCTTTCCTCCTTTCTTTCTTTCTATCTTTCTTTCTGTTTTTAAACTCAGGTTGTTTCTTTTTTCAGTCCTTCTACCTCTTTTATACATGAAAAATTTTCTTTCTTTGTTTCTTTCTTTCTTTAAGCTCAGGTTGTTTCTTTTTCTATCTTTCTATCTCTTTTATACATGAAAGATTTTCTTTCTTTGTTTCTCTTTTTAAGCTCAGATTGTTTCTTTTTTCTATCCTTCTATCTCCTTTATACATGAAAGATTTACTTTCATTCTTTCTTTCTTTTTTTCTTTCTTTCTTTCTTCATGCTTAAGTTGTCTCTCTCTTTTTTCATTCCTTCTTTTTCTTTTTACATGAAAGATTTTTTCTTTTTTGCTTCTTTATTCATTTATGTCCAGTTTGTCTCTTATTTTTTCATTCTGTCTTTTTCTTTTTTTTTACATGAAAAAAAATTATTTCCTTCTTTCTGTTCAGAAGTAAACTATTCCTTCTTTCATTCCTTTCTTACCTTCTTTCTCATTATTCTGTTGAACCTTTTATTTATTTTTTCAGTATTCTCTTTCTTTCTTCCTTTCTTTCTTTCTTTCTTTCTTTCTTCCTTTCTTTCTTTCTTTCTTTCTTTCTTTGATTCGTCCAACTTCCTTTCACTACTTCTTCTTATTTGACTTTCTTTCTTTCTTTCTTTCTTTCTTTCTTTCTTTTTTTGATTCGTCCAACTTCCTTTCACCGCTTCTTATTATTTGACTTTCTTTCTTTCTTTCTTTCTTTCTTTCTTTCTTTCTTTCTTTTTTTGATTCGTCCAACTTCCTTTCACCGCTTCTTATTATTTGACTTTCTTTCTTTCTTTCTTTCTTTCTTTCTTTCTTTCTTTTTTTCTTTCTTTCTTTGATTCGTCCAACTTCCTTTCACCGCTTCTTATTATTTGACTTTCTTTCTTTCTTTCTTTCTTTCTTTCTTTCTTTCTTTCTTTCTTTCTTTCTTTCTTTCTTTCTTTGATTCGTCCAACTTCCTTTCACCGCTTCTTATTATTTGACTTTCTTTCTTTCTTTCTTTCTTTCTTTCTTTCTTTCTTTCTTTCTTTCTTTCTTTTTCTTTGATTCGTCCAACTTCCTTTCACCGCTTCTTATTATTTGACTTTCTTTCTTTCTTTCTTTCTTTTTCTTTCTTTCTTTCTTTCTTTCTTTCTTTCTTTTCTTTCTTTGATTCGTCCAACTTCCTTTCACCGCTTCTTATTATTTTCTTTCTTTCTTTCTTTCTTTCTTTCTTTCTTTCTTTCTTTTTCTTTTCTTTCTTTCTTTCTTTGATTCGTCCAACTTCCTTTCACCGCTTCTTATTATTTGACTTTCTTTCTTTCTTTCTTTCCTTCTTTCTTTCTTTCTTACGTTGTATTACCTCTCTTCCTCACTTTCTCTCCTCTTTTTTTATCTTTCTTTCATTTCTTTATTATGCATTCGTCTCTTTCCATCTGGAGTGCTTCTTTCTCTCTCCTTATCATCCAAACATCTCACTGACCTCTTTCCCGACGACATCACCACAAACAACCAGCTTAAATAACCGCATTTAAAGGAGACATTTTACACGAGGACGTTTCGACAAGAGGCACACTATCATCAGTTGCCGCAACAAGAGAACTAATCACTCAGCACATAAAAAAAAAGGATTTTCAAGAAGGCGGCCATTTGCAAATCAATCACCAGACAAAGAACCATCACAAGAAGATCCAAGAAAGAATTCTGATAACAGAAGAAAAATGAATGACACTTGAAAAATGGTAAAAGAAAAAGAGAAAGAAGAATTGGAAAAAAATGAATTAAGGAGTATTTGAAAGGAAATGTTAAAAAAAGTTTTTCTTTTTTTTTTTGGATAATTCATTTGCCTTGTCGTCATTGATTAAATCTGTTTTGCTTTTGTCCCTATTATATTATATTTAAATCTATTTTTCTAATTATTTGGAAGATAATTTTGGGTGCCCTTTTTTGATATTATTCTGACAATGACTTTTATTTATTTGAAGTGATACTTAAATAATATTTATTTATCTGGAGGGATAATTATAGATCATTGGTCGATGCTTCACAGAAGAAAAAGTTTTGTCATGCTTTCATCTAGTAAGCCCTATGAGTGTTAAACTTTCCAAGTCTTCTTTCCTCATTATATGCACTTGTAATTTCAGCTGTTGCTTTCTGATTCTAAATATAAGTAAGCATTTTGTCCCATTTTCCTAAAAGTGTACAGATTGCTCATATACTGCGTCTCTTTCATTCTCATCGTCTTTCTGGAGAACCACATTTCTGCTGCCTCAAGCATCTTGTTCGTCTGTAAAGTAATTGTCCAACATTAGGATTGATATTATATAGCAGTACAGCAGTATTTTCTTGATTTTTTTAAGAACAGTTTACTGTTTTTAAGCTTGTAGTAATAACAGCAATGCTTGAGCTCTGGCTCTAGATATCTCAAAGGCGTTTGACAGGGTTTGGCATGCTTGTCTTCTACATAAGCTTCAGGTACTACAGCACGATTGTTTGATTTAATGTAATCATTCATATCAAATCGTGAAATGAAGGTCATTCTAAACGGGTTCGCTTCCAAGTCGTTTCACACGAATGCAGTTATCTCCCAATGCACTATCCTGGGTCCTACGCCGTTTCTGATCTTCATCAGTCATCTTCCTGATGTTATCAGTTACCAAGTAGGCATTTATGCAGAAGACACTACCATCTACTCTTGTCACAATAGAAAATCCATCAGAGCTGAAAAAGTCAACCTGAAAAGAACCTCTAATCTGTTGACCATGTTCACCATAGTCCATGAATATAGAATACAGCGCAGTACGTAATCTGTTCAATAAAACAACGTTAAAGATTAACACTCACGAGTGAGACACTCTACTGAATCTGACTATATCGCCAATACCACCAGCAGCTGTTCCGTAATTCTTCAGTCTTTGATATCAAAGGCTGGCAGTGAATATTCGGGAAAAAACATGGCTGCCTTTATACACGTCGCATTGAATATTTTGAGCCTTCTGATTGGTTAACCCTTCTATTGGGGAACTATAAAATGAGTCAACTCATTTTGGCTGGCTCACTATTACACCAGAATATCCAAAAATCCCAACATAATCACTGGTTGACTGGGGCAGGAAATGCCTTTTTTAGGAATAGTTTACTGTTTCTTAATACTGTGTTCAGATTTTCTTTAATACACTGCACCTTCCCAGATATTTAAACGTCTGTCATTGTTTGATTGTCGGAACTGCGCGTTAACCATGATATATTTGGGAAAGAGATTATAATATTCAAGAAACTATGCTGGTGGCAAACTGCCTGCATACGGATTGAAAATGGGTAAAGTAAATATACAAAGATAGAAAGGGATGTAAGACAAGGATGAGTCTTCTCCCCGGACTTAAAAGGTTACATGATTCTGAAAGGATCACAAGGCTGAAATATTGGCGGCCACAATCTTCTCAGCATAAAATATGTAGAAGACACTGTCTTGATAATAGATGCAGAAATAAAATGTAGCGAAGGAAATCGGGTATAAAGGACTAAATATCAATTGCAAGAAGACACTGGGCTAAGGAAAAATGCCTTCTAAAGTTAAGCAATGTATTAAGAAACATACAAATTTCGTTAGAAACAAAGAAAAGAATACGGAACTGTTACATAATATCAGTCTATCTATATGGCAGAGAATGTTGGACAATCCTCCTCACAGATGAAGAGACTTGAAGCGACAGAACCAAAGAAAAGAGTACTGAACTGTTATGTAATATCACTCCTCCTATATGGCAGTGAATGTTGGACAATCTCATCACAGATGAAGAAGATATATATATATATATATATATATATATATATATATATATATATATATATATATACTAGCAGCGATGGGAGTTGGGAAATGCAAAGCCGGTCTTGGACAAATCCGTCGAAAATTGCGGCCGTGCATTCGTTACACACACACACACACACACACACACACACACACACACACTTATATATATATATATATATATATATATATATATATATATGTGTGTGTGTGTGTGTGTGTGTGTGTGTGTGTGTGTGTGTGTGTGTGTGTGTGTGTGTGTGTGTGTGCGTGCGTGCGTGGTTGTATATTTGGCCATCAATCTCACTGGTTTCTTTAAATGACTGACAGGGTATTTCTGTTAAGTTATTTTAAGGCGTTTTTCTCGTAAACAAACAAAACATTTCTTTTGGGGACATATGAATGTAGATATTCTTCAGGTGATTTTTCGTTCCCAACTGTTTCGTCTAATCTCTTAGCCATTTTCATGGACTTAGATTTTGCTATTATAGTTGCTTCGTTTTATTTTTTTAATCTTTTAACCTTAAACACGGCGTTAAAGCCACTACGACGCAAGCGGATTACTGAGTATGACGAAAAAGGAAATTATTAAGGAGAAAAAAACAATAAAAACAGGTTCAAGTGGATAGAGGATAACAAGTGGCATTCTATTTAAATTTTTTTAAGGAGGTAGTTGACAGGCAAGCTAAAACCTGAAAGAGTTTCTCAAACGAGAAATGCGAGAGAAAAATAAAATAAAAAAAAACATTAGAACAGTACTTACGCTTACACTTTTTTCCACAGTAGTATAATGAGACCTAACTGCCAATCTAGTACTACGCTTAACTTCATGATGTTAAGGAACCAAAACCAAAAGACTATAAGAACAATTTATAGAAAAGGCACAAGGAAGCCTCGTTAACGCGGTGGGAAAGTCAGTAAAGCCGATATGCCAGGTCAGGACCGATAACTTTGCAGGTTCTTCCTTGGACTTTGTCAAGAATCTGTAGACACATATCAGAAGCCCCAAACCAGATATGGCAACAACCACTGAAAGTACGGACGAAAGATCAAAGACAGAATATGACGAATAAAATTGTCTAGCACGACACGGTAAACCAATTTTTTATGAGCAGAAGATTTACTCGGACAGCTTATTCTCAAAACAGCAACATTGTCGAGCGGTTGTCCGAGAGGATGATTCCCTGGTTCTCATACGATCAATGAAGTTAAGCAACGCCGAGCCTGGTCAGTACATTTAATGGATGACCGCTTAGGAATAACAGGTGCTGTAAGCTTGGATATGTGTCGCTGATATAATGAATAATGTCTCAGAATTTTTAATCGGAGAACTGTTCTAAAATCCAATTCGTAAATACCCTTGAGAAAGTTATGAATCCATCTCTTCTCTCCCCGCTATGGGTTAATTAATAGGACTTGTATTAGTAAAATCATTATTATCTCCAAAAAAATTATTATATATATTTATTTATTTTTATATTATTATTTTGCAGAAAATATATTTATATTGATAAATATATTTTCTGCAAAATATCTCAAAAAATCAATCAGCTTCTCTTTACACCCTGGTGTAAATTAATTGAAAGAAAACGAATAATTTCGTTATTACGAAATCTTTTCGTATTTTTCCAATGAAACATGACCCAGTGCACAAGTAAGTACTTCGTATGTCCATTCTACGAAGATTTTCTCTGCAGACTGACCACAGATTCTCGATTGGATTTAAATCAGGAGAGTTTCCAGGCCAATCTATAGTATTTTGATTTGCTCACTGCTAAGGCTTGTCAG